TTCTTTTTTATAGAATAAAATGTCGACGCGTAATAGATAACTTTTAGTTTGCAATTTTTTTATTGTATAGGTTGGCACATAACGTTATGATTTATCTTCTTTCTTTATGATTTTATTTAACGTTGGCGTTTATTAAAATTTAGACTATAGTTTGGAATTATGCTCACATTATGTTTTGAAGATAATATCTTTCAAGTGCTCTTTCCAGAGCATTTCCTATAACTTTTCTTAGAATTTATGATCTCAGCGCCCCTACTTCTTCTCGAATGTTCGTCTTAAGCTGTTGCATGGTTCTTGGCTTATTGGCATACATCTTACCCTTTAAGTTACCCCAAAGAATAAAATCGGGAGCCGTTAAAAAGGAACGAACGCGGTGGCCAGTTAAAATCAGAAAAACATGATATTATTCGATTGCCAAAAATTTCGCGAGAGAGCTGTGGCTCCATCTTATTGGAACCACAGTTCCGGATTGTTCTCTACCTCGGGCCTTAAAAAATTTCAATCATTGCCCGGTATTGAATGATATTCACATTAACCGCAACTGTTTCGTCGTTTTCGAAAAAATATGGTCCAATGGTCTTTTATGAATATATTCCACACTAATAAGACATAAGTGGGTTTTGATGTTCAAAAATTATTATTGGATATTTGGTGCCCGCAATTTTGTCTATTCACGTGATCATTGAGATGAGGTGAAAATGGGCCCCATCGCTCATTATAAGTTTTTAACTCATGCACCAATTGAATCTTATATGGGAAAAGGTGTAAATTATGTAAAATTCTTTGCAAAGATCGCCTATTATACATCACCAACTGCTGAGAACGTCATCTGGTGGAAGTTTCGGGGTTTTCCTCAATACTTGCTCGTACCCGGGCAATGTTCACATCATTTTGAACTGCACGAGGTCTTCCAGCACGCGGAAGATCACCAGATGCATTTCGAACATGAAAGAAATTTCGATATGATCTTTGTGTCTGAATAATCGAGTGCTGACTTTCAAAATAAAATTGAACAACTTTAGTTCTTTGGTCTGGGCTGAGTCTTTCCATTATAAGTTTCCCAAGTACTTCAAAGTGAATAAAAAAAGTAAAGTTACAGCCTATATACGTCCCACTTCTGGGCACGTGCCTCCTCTCATTTCTGAGAGGGTTATTAGGGCTAGGAAGTGTCCGTTTTTTTTTCGTATTTCTTAGACATACAGGTTTCCTCACGATGTTTTCCTTCACCGCCGCTCACGTGGTAAATCAGCACTTAAAATTGCAATTAACAATTTCATTGGTGTCGGCGGGAATCGAACCCGATTTTCTCGCATACTGTGAAATTTACAGCGAGCGCTAACTATCTGAGCTACCACGGCTCGCAAAGTGAATACTGAAAAAAATATCCAAAAAAAAAATACGTAAACAAAAAATTTATTCACTTATTAAATACTAACGTTACTTCTGCGCCACACTGTATATTTTTTTTATAGAATAGGGTGACAAACGAGCACACAGTCCACCTGATGGTAAGTGGTTGCTGCGGCCCATAGACATCTACATCCATCCTCCATTAAAAATCAAAATGCAGATGCGTTGTCACCCGTGAGGACTGAGATGGAATGCCTCGTTTCCAGTAAAAAGGGTCTCCGGTTCTCTACACTCACCATACGAAATACAGCAGCATTAAGCTACTATTTCACGCTGGTATTCTGTGAGAGCGTGGTCCTTCCCCGGTCGAGCCGACCCATTCGTGCTACAACTATACTACTAATACTCGTATAACTGCAGCATGGCTCTACCACGTATACTTGCCTAAACTATCTTGATACTAAATCATTCACGCTTCTAAGTATCCTAAAAGAGGCTTAGGTTTTTGATGAGATGATGAGTGAGTCAATGAGTGATAAAAATGGCATTTTCAGACCAAATCAGAGAGATCAGAGAGATGTGTGAGATAGTTATTTAGGGGTCCTTACTAGGTTCATTAATTATAAGTGTGTAAGTCTAATAGTTTTTGAGTTATGGGGGGTTTGAATGTGGCTTAAAATGGTTCGTATTAAATATACGATCTGTCGGTGCGACGCCCTTTACTTTTTCGGACCTGGCTGAAACACACACAAACGTCAGTGTTTCCGCCAAGTTTGTTATAATTTTAGTAGAAATAGAAAAAATTGAAACAAAAACATTTACACTCGAATCTCTTCAAATTATTAATATTATTGCTTGCTGGATTATTTTATAATGTGATGCATATTTTCAAATAGGGGTTAAAAATTATGCATTTCTATTTTGCATCAAAACATACCTTTTTGCCTTTATAGATTTTGGCTATATATTCTATTCATATCTAGATATACTTACTCCAATTTGAAAATATGCGTCACACTATGAATTAATGCAGTAAGTTAAATGATTTGGGGAGATTCAAGTGCAAATAGTTTTTTCAATTTCTTCTATTTCTACTAAAATTACGTGTCTTGTTTTAATAAACATTTTTATAGCAAAATGAACAATTTATTCGAAAGATGTCAACGCCTAATTTTAACATTTGCTTTCAAAGTCGGGTAACAGCTGGCCGGATGCAGGAGGTCGGCTGTGAACGCCATATTGTTTTTGCTGGGGACAATGTACGAGAAACATGTGCGGTATGCGTCCAACGTTTTTTTTTATAATAAAATTCTAGGATTGGACGCATAGAAATCCATGCAATTACGATTGCATTGAGCGGCAGATAAACTTGTTCGAATTTTTTCATATAAAAGAGTTATATGATCTTACAGATTTTGCAATAGTTCACATTCACTGTAATAATGTACGGATGTAATATGACGAGGATTTCTGAACCATTTTAGTTTCTTCGATAAATTGACGTGCGCGAATTTTTCACGCTCCGCTAATCTTTTCACATTCCGCTTTCGCTGTATGTTTTTCCCAGGGGAAATGTCACAACTCTTTGTCACCCTTAAGTAGCTACTATCAAGCTTACCAACACAAAATAAAACATAGGTTTATTTTGTGGTAAAAAATTCAAATAGTTTTCAAATAGCTTTTTATTTATAGCTGATAAAAATCTGTTAAATTAACAGTTTTTATTTACAAAACTGAAGTAACAAACGAACTAACAGAACACCTAACGGCTACAGCAGTACCTATACAGGCGGCTGCTGCGAAAGAAAAAAAGGATATCGAAGTGTGGACAACACTTAGATATCCTTCTTTTTTTAGAATTGAGGGGACAAACGAGCACACTTGATGGTAAGTGGATGCTGTGGCCCTCAGACATTCACATCTATCCTCGATTAAGAATCTAGTCTAGTCTTTGTCACCCTTGAGGACTAAGATGGAAGGCCTCGTTTCCAGTAAAAAGGTTCTCTGGTTCTCTACACTCACCATACGAAACACAGCAGCTTTAAGCTGCTGTTTTACGCTGGTGTTCTTTAAGAGCTTGGTCCTACCCCGTTCGAGCTGATCCGTTCATGCTACAACCATAATATAGCTGCAGCGTGGCTCTACCTCTGAAGACTAAGATGGAATGCTTATAAACAAACCTATTTCATATCCGTAGGTTAGGGGATGGTACCTACCAGAGAAGTCTTACCGCCTAGAATATCTTTGACAATTAGGTACCTACTGTATTTTAGCTAGATTAAAATCAATGTTCGCCGTGTAGTGGCGATGTAAGAGAATTTACTACCTCACAACCACCTGTAGGTATCGTAGGAGGCGACAGAGGCAGCCCTCTATCACTCTTGCTACCTACGTGAAATAATTACCTAAAATCGCGATGCGCCCGGGCGAAATACGCAGTCAGGGCTAGCGCGTTAGAGGCGATTGAATGTTAAAGTTTTTTAACTAATAGTAGTAAATTATGTTGAAATAGTTTTTGTTTAGTGTTTAGTATATTTAATTATAGGATAAAATAGTTCAAAAGTTTTAATGTAATTTAAGAACTATATATTATGTATATTACCCATTATTTAATAAATTTTAATATGGCAAAACGTCGTTCCTACTATAATAGTTGCGTGGATAGACGCTAAATGACCAACAAAATATTTCAGATATATCATTCTTTAATCTTAATTACCGAAGGATTTTAGTAGGAAGTTATGAAACGTGAATTTATTTAATTTTTATTGTTAGATAGGTACTTATAGCAAAAAAGAATTAAGTAATAATTTATTTAATATCTACGAACTTTATTAAAAAATTTAGTGGAAAATGACTTTACTATCCAAGTATCTACTTACGTACATATATTTGCCTTTTGTATTAAAATATTTTAAGCTATTATTTTAGCTTAAAATATTTTAAGCTAAAATAACACAAAACACTGAAATCAAAACTTTCTTTACCAACAAAAATTTTAATTAAGTAGAATACGATTACATTTCTGTTAGGAATCGTATTTCAAGTTTATTTGTTGTTTACATTATCTACCTTTTCCTTCCGACCCAAGCGTCGCGATTCCCGACGAATGGCCTTGCAAGTTGCATGCGTTAGGCATCGCAAAACTCACGTAGGTGCGAAAATATGGTCTATCGATCATATTCAGAATAGGTATTTCACCTAAGTAACCTAATTAATATTTCGCAATGCATTTTGTTACTCTTTATTGACATCCCTCCATAACAACGGAAAGTCCACCGTAACGTAGGAAGAGGAAAATGTGCAAAGTAATACGGACACTCTCGCGCAGCGATAAAGTTTTATTTAGATTGCGAGCGCGATTTATCTAATTAATAATAATAATGTAGGCTATTAAACGTCGGCAAGCAGTCAACATTAAAAGAGTGAAACTTCTGTACATAGTACTATTATTTATTCTATGACAGAGGTCAATTGAAATAGAAGAAATATATTACAACTGAAAATAATAATTAACTGCGGCTGATATTTATTCTTAACGACTTCCGTGGGAAGAAAAGTAAAAAGAGCAATGAAATTATCTTCCTAAAATAATTTTTTATCATGGGTACTAAAATAATCCTTACTAAAATAATAAAATTTCATTTCAGTTTATTCGAAGAGATGTCGCTGGCGGATGTGACGTCGGCGCGTAGTTCGCCCGCCCCAGAGGCTTGTCCGGAGTGCGATACTAGCGCCTCTGTCACATCCGATTTGCACAAGGTTTGTTTCGTTAAAGAATTTAACAATTTGATTTTTGAAGATTTAGTTCATAACAATAATTCTTAAGGATAAGTGCTTCATTCATGCTTGTTTATTAAGAGGGTATTATTCAAATTAGCGCAATTCAAAATCGCTCTGGAACGGCGTAATATTGAAGCACACAACAATGTTCTCTGTGTGCGTCTGCTCGAGGTGGGGCGAGCGCAAGGTATACTATAATACTTGTATCCAACGATTTTTGTATCTAGCACGAATCATCTTGATACTATTGCAACTAAGAGAATAAAATAATTTCCACATTCGCTTATGAGGTCGTAGTTGTCTTATTATTTAGATTTCTGTGTAGCTAAGACATTGTGTATATAAGAATTAATATCCGATCTAGCCCTGACATTGGAAGTCGGCTTTTCTTTTTTACTCTATTCGGTAGACTCAGGAATCTCACAAAGACAAGTTAGTTAAAAACTAGAAAGGGGTAAGAATATATGTTCGAATTGAAAAATATGTATTATATAAAATAGATTTCGTTCGATATACATTTATTCTGTTACATAATGTAAAGATAATTTATCTAAATAACAATTTCATTGGTGTCGGCGGGGATTGAACCCGGGTTGCTTGCGTTTACGGGAGCACTTTGCCCTTGAGCTACCATGGCTGTTCTGTTCTATTTTGTTTCTATTTTATAATAACGTTACCTCCACACTAAGAATGTTTCCTAAGTATATAATGGAGGCAGTTAAAACATAAGAACATAAATTTCACAAGGACGAACATCCAGACCCGGAATAATAATTTGTAGGTTTACAAATTTTTGTTCCGTGCGGGATTCGAACCCGCGGCCCTTAAACTTATTGCTAAGCCACTCCGCCACGGAGCCGTATCTTTTGTAGGGATAAATATTTTTGTTATAAATTGCTTACTATTAAATAAACTTGAAAAATTATTAATAATTAATTTAAATAATATCAATTAACAAAGTATCATTCCTTGCGTTGTGTTGCACGAACGAATGTAGTGTGTCCATATAAAATCGGGAATTTGGTTTTAAAATCGGGACAATTACAATAGCTACAAAGAGCAGGTTTTTGTAGCCATTGTGGTCGCTATTAGTTATACAGGTATTTTGACACAATTCGCAATGTGTTTTATAAGTATTATATAGAACTGATCAAATGAACCTATCATTTTTAATTTATCTAAGCAGCAGCATGCAAGTTAGATATTGTACTGATTATTATTACGATGCTTGGTGCAAACCGGTGACATGCATCAGGCGGTAAGAAAAAAAAACAAGTAAACATGATTGATATCTGCATCTTGCCATGCCATCACATTACGCGCAAATCACACTTTGACGCTGCCTATTTAGTCCAAGTTTGGTGGAAAAATATGCAAAGCAAAAGTATTTTAATGTATTAGCAGCTTACAGATATATTCAATTTTGCTGTAAAAATGATCGATCGAAATATAGGCTAGTTAGTGAAAATTCTGGACATTTGGCGTCCCGATTCATCGTTGATCGGGACAAATCCCGCACAAATCGGGACACTTGGCAACACTAGCTTATGCTATCGGTGTGAATTAACACGTTGAGATGTTGTCATCAGCATGGGCTTTCTGCGCAGCAGGTATCGGGCCTCGGGGTATGCCCCCTTTACCCGGACATTCCTCACGGCACACTACAGTGTGCCGGTCCTGGGCGCCTTTGGTGTTAAAAGGCGTTGTAATGCAAATAACGACTTTTCGTCGCAGTCGGGTAATTTTTCAAAAAAGAAGGTTGTCTCAATATTATGTGTTTAACATAAATATTTTGTCTAAGTTGGCCTTTCTGCGGCATTGTGGGATTTACTCGACTCCCTAATCTATATAGGGAGGAGTTCTCTTGGATAGGGTCGCCCGTCCGGTGGCCGTGAGTGCAACGGCGCAAAGCCGTTGAGGTGTTCATGTAGCCCGTTGTCGGCGCGGTCGAACATACCGCGCGCCAGCCGGACCACGAATTCTTCTAGGCTCTCTATCATTAGGTTGGCCGCTATGACGTCATTCCGGACGTAGCGACCCGCACCGACTATGGTTCGTAATGACAAGTTCTGCTGGGCCTGTAGTCGCCGCTTCTGTTGATCACTCAGGAGCGCATACCAGGCCGGAGCAGCGTATGTTAGCAGGGGTCTTATATACATTTTATATATGGTCAACTGCGACTTTGTCGGTTACTTGGATACCAGGACTGGACGGAGCATCGCTCGCGCACATCGAGCTTTGCGGACGACGAAGTCGACGTGCGTAGTCATGTGCAACATCCTGTCAATCTGGCATCCAAGGTAGGTCACGGCCTTCTCATATGCGATCCCCTGGCCTCTGAGGGTTAGCGGTGGTGGTAGTCTTCTGAAGCGGCAAGTAAGCAGAGCGGTCGTCTTGCTAACATTGACGGCCATCCTCCACTCATCCAGCCATGGTGGCAGCAGGTCCAGCAGACGTTGCATCCTGGCAGTGGCGATATGGGCTCTTCTGGACGAGGTGAAGTAGGCGCTGTTATCCGCAAATAGCGCCAGCTCGACGTCGTCCTCCCATTCGTGCAGATGCCCTGCCAGGGTGGGGTTGTCATTAGTGTAGGCCGCGTACAGGACTGGAGACAGACAGCTGCCCTGTGGCACACCAGCTGTTATGGGTTTTATTGCGGACTTGGCGTCCTCTACACAGACGTAGAACCTCCTGTCTACGAAGAAAGACTCCACTAGCCGCAATATAGCAGGAGGGACACTGGTCTGATCTTCTCTAGATTGTAGAGTAGTCCCGGGTGCCACACCCTGTCGAACGCCTTCTCGATATCGAGAAAGACGCCCAACGATGTGCAGCCGCGGTTGTGCTCGGCCGCAAGCAGGTGCAGCACTCTGGTCAGCTGTGTTGCTGTTGAGTGGTCCCTCCTAAACCCATGCTGCTCCGCCCGAAGTTGGATGCACGGGCGGAGACGTCTGAGCAGTATTCTTTCAAACAGTTTAGCTATATGCGGTAGCAGCGTGATCGGCCTGTAGCTGGCAGCTCTACGCCTGTCCTTCCCGGGTTTCGGCAAGACGATGATTTTGCCTTTCTTCCAGTCCTCCGGGAAGTGGGATCTCCGCAATATGCCATTGTAGAGCCGACCTATCTCTACAAGGACTCTATTGGGCAACTGTCGTAGTGAAGCTGTTTACGCTAAATCATAACTCTTGAAACTTGCAAGGCGCGTCCCGGGCGAGGACCGGTTGGCGGGTTGCGCGGGGTATTCATTTGCGCTGGCGACCGCGCCTGGCAGTCGACAGGAATCTTGGAGCGCTGAGGCCGCGCCGGTGGGGGTCGCGAGATTAGCCCAGAACATTCGATTTGCGCGACGACCGGGTCGACTAGAGGTCGCGAGTTTTTTATAAGTTTGTTGTGTCGTATAACGACGGCCTCTATTGTGTTGTAATTTGTCGTTAATATACGTGACAACGAGGCCTTTGAGTTTTGATTGACTATTTAACTTCGATTGGTATTAATTTGCGTCGACGAGTGGCTTGTGTAGTTAATTAGGAAGGAATTTTGCTTTCATGTGGAACGTTAAACTTTGTGATCCGGAGATCGCGTTATCTTAGATTATAGTTTGTGCTAAGTGACGCTAGACTTAGTGGCTAACGCCTCTGGAGTGATTGCACAAGAGGATCTGGGCAGCGCATGTGGTTCTGCTATTTGATTATATAGGTGACGTCAGGTTACATTATATACTTTCCTACACTAAACACACACTACCATTTACTTGCCCCTGACGACGCCTTGTGGTCGACCCTACACTCCGGAATTCGGTAAGTTTGTATTTGACTATAGCAGCCGTTATAATTTAATTATCCATAGGCCATTTGTGGCCCGACCCTCGGTTACTCGTCGAATTGGGTTACTGATGGGCCCTAGCTCAATCGACTTTTGTCGGGGTAACTCGGGGGGGCCGTAACAGCAGTGTTGATAATCCCATCGTGCCCGGCACCTTCCTCGGTTGCAGGCGGGTTGCTGACCTCCGCAGTTCAGCGGGAGAAATAAACCACTCTCCTGCAAGGTTCGGCATAAGCTGCTCCTCGAAGTGCTCAGCTAGGATATCCGCTCTGCCTTTGGCATCGTAACGTTGTTCACCCGCGTTGTTTGTCAGCGTGCAAACAAGTGGGCGAGTTTTCGTTAACTGCCTGTTTAATGTGTAGAGTGACGCTTAATGTTCGTCAGCCTACCAAATGCGCCGCTCCCAGGCCTCTCCTCTGTGGGCCTGTATTGCAACCAACAGTTCGACCGTTAGGGTGTTCAGCTTGGATTTTATTCTGGGGCAGCGAGTGCGCGCCCAGAGCTTCCTCAGCGCTCTTTTATGCTTCAGCTGCACGCGTATCTTTAGCGGCAGCTCTTCCTTTCTACCAGAGAGAGGGGCGATCGTAGAGGCTGCGTTGAGGGCCTCCTGGATGCTCGTAGTTATTCTGGTTGCAGCGGTCTCGTCGTCCGTTGAGTGGATCGGTGCGTGGACTGGAGGTCTCTCCTGCAGGTGTTGGTGGTAGAGCCTCCAGTCGATCTTGGTCTTAACGGCTCTGGGCGGCGAAGTTATTGCCTTGGTGCCAAGGGTAATCAGAATTGGGAGGTGCTGTGTATTTAGGTCGTACAGCACCTCTACTACTACCGGGTAGTTGACATTCCTAGTGAGCACGATGTCAAATACATCCGGACGCTTCCTAGGGTCTGTAAGAATATAAGTCCGTTCCTCGGGACCTAGAACGTCATAATTCTGGTTTTCTGCATCCTCATAAAGCTCACGACCCGGCGGGTTGATCAATCTTGACCCCCAAGCCGGGTGTTTGGCGTTCAGGTCCCCGGCGATGATGGTGGGTGTCGTACCTTCCATAACCGTCCATATGTCTGAGGAGTAGAATGGAGTCCCTGGCGGGCGGTAAGCTGCAAAGATCCTTAGTTCCTCGCCCACCGCCTCCATTTTTATGTCGATTGAACGCATCGTC